ACGACATGTTTCTCCCCACCAGGGCAGTGTTCTGTACAGTGTTAGGACGACATGTTTCTCCCCACCAGGGCAGTGTTCACTACAGTGTTATGACAACATGTTTCTCCCCACCAGGGCAGTGTTCTGTACAGTATAAGGACAACATGTTTCTCCCCGCCAGGGCAGTGTTCACTACAGTGTTAGGACGACATGTTTCTCCGCACCAGGGCAGTGTTCACTACAGTGTTAGGACGACATGTTTCTCCTCACCAGGACAGTGTTCACTTCAGTGTTAGGACGACATGTTTCTCCCCGCCAGGGCAGTGTTCACTACAGTGTTAGGACGACATGTTTCTCCGCACCAGGGCAGTGTTCACTTCAGTGTTAGGAAGGCATGTTCCTCCTCACCAGGGCAGTGTTCACTACAGGGTAAGGTCTACATGTTTCTCCCTACCGAGACAGTGTTCTGTACAGTGTGAGGACGACATGTTTGTTCCTACCGAGGTAGTGTTCAGTACAGTGTTAGGACGATATGTTTTTCCTACCGAGGCAGTGTTAAGTAGAGTGTTAGGGCGACATGTTTTTTCGTACCGAGTCAGTGTTCACTACAGTGTTAGGACAACATGTTTCTCCTCACCAGGGCAGTGTTCACTACAGTGTAAGGTCGACATGTTTCTCCCCTCCAGGGCAGTGTTCTGTACAGTGTTAGGACGACATGTTTCTCCCCACCAGGGCAGTGTTCTGTACAGTGTTAGGACGACATGTTTCTACCCACCAGGGCAGTGTTCACTACAGTGTAAGGTCGACATGTTTCTCCTCACCAGGGCAGTGTTCACTACAGTGTAAGGTCGACATGTTTCTCCCCACCAGGGCAGTGTTCAGTACAGTGTTAGGACGACATGTTTATACCCACCAGGGCAGTGTTCACTACCGTGTTAGGACGACATGTTTCTCCCCACCAGGGCAGTGTTCACTACAGTGTTAGGACGACATGTTTCTCCCCACCAGGGCAGTGTTCACAACAGTGTTAGGACGACATGTTTCTCCGCACCAGGGCAGTATTCACTACAGTGTTAGGACGACATGTTTCTCCGCACCAGGGCAGTGTCTACTACAGTGTAAGGACGACATGTTTCTCCGCACCAGGGCAGTGTCTACTACAGTGTTAGGACGACATGTTTCTCCTCACCAGGGCAGTGTCTACTACAGTGTTAGGACGACATGTTTCTCCGCACCAGGGCAGTGTCTACTACAGTGTAAGGACGACATGTTTCTCTCCACCAGGGCAGTGTTCACTACAGTGTAAGGACGACATGTTTCTCCGCACCAGGGCAGTGTTCACTACAGTGTTTTGACAACATGTTTCTCCCCACCAGGGCACTGTCCTGTACAGTGTAAGGACGTCATGTTTCTCCCCACCAGGGCAGTGTTCACTACAGTGTTATGACGACATGTTTCTCCCCACCAGGGCAGTGTTCACTACAGTGTTATGACAACATGTTTCTCCCCACCAGGGCAGTGTTCTGTACAGTGTTAGGACGAGATGTTTCTCCCCACCAGGGCAGTGTTCTGTACAGTGTAAGTACGACATGTTTCTCCCCACCAGGGCAGTGTTCTGTACAGTGTTAGGACGACATGTTTCTCCTCACCAGGGCAGTGTTCTCTACAGTGTTAGGACGACATGTTTCTCCTCACCAGGGCAGTGTTCACTACAGTGTAAGGAGGACATGTTTCTCCCCACCAGGGCACTGTTCTGTACAGTGTGAGGACAACATGTTTCTCCCCACCAGGGCAGTGTTCACTACAGTGTTAGGACGACATGTTTCTCCTCACCAGGGCAGTGTTCACTACAGTGTAAGGATGACATGTTTCTCCCCACCAGGGCAGTGTTCTGTACAGTGTGAGGACGACATGTTTCTCCTCACCAGGGCAGTGTTCACTACAGTGTTTTGACAACATGTTTCTCCCCACCAGGGCAGTGTTCTGTACAGTGTAAGGACGACATGTTTCTCCCCACCAGGGCAGTGTTCACTACAGTGTTATGACGACATGTTTCTCCCCACCAGGGCAGTGTTCAGTACAGTGTTATGACAACATGTTTCTCCCCACCAGGGCAGTGTTCTGTACAGTGTTAGGACGACATGTTTCTCCTCACCAGGGCAGTGTTCTGTACAGTGTAAGGACGACATGTTTCTCCTCACCAGGGCAGTGTTCTGTTCAGTGTTAGGACGACATGTTTCTCCTCACCAGGGCAGTGTTCTCTACAGTGTTAGGACGACATGTTTCTCCCCACCAGGGCAGTGTTCTGTACAGTGTTATGACAACATGTTTCTCCCCACCAGGGCAGTGGTCACTACAGTGTTATGACATCATATTTCTCCCCACCAGGGCAGTGTTCACTACAGTGTAAGGACGTCATGTTTCTCCCCACCAGGGCAGTGTTCACTACAGTGTAAGGACGACATGTTTCTCCCCACCAGGGCAGTGTTCACTACAGTGAAAGATCGACATGTTTCTCCCCACCAGGGCAGTGTTCTGTAAAGTGTAAGGACGACATGTTTCTCCCCACCAGGGCAGTGTTCACTACAGTGTTAGGACGACATGTTTCTCCGCACCAGGGCAGTGTTCACTACAGTATAAGGTCGACATGTTTCTCCCCTCCAGGGCAGTGTTCTGTACAGTGTGAGGACGACATGTTTCTCCTCACCAGGGCAGTGTTCACTACAGTGTTAGGACGACATGTTTCTCCCCACCAGGGCAGTGTTCTGTACAGTGTTAGGACGACATGTTTCTCCCCACCAGGGCAGTGTTCACTACAGTGTTATGACAACATGTTTCTCCCCACCAGGGCAGTGTTCTGTACAGTATAAGGACAACATGTTTCTCCCCGCCAGGGCAGTGTTCACTACAGTGTTAGGACGACATGTTTCTCCGCACCAGGGCAGTGTTCACTACAGTGTTAGGACGACATGTTTCTCCTCACCAGGACAGTGTTCACTTCAGTGTTAGGACGACATGTTTCTCCCCGCCAGGGCAGTGTTCACTACAGTGTTAGGACGACATGTTTCTCCGCACCAGGGCAGTGTTCACTTCAGTGTTAGGAAGGCATGTTCCTCCTCACCAGGGCAGTGTTCACTACAGGGTAAGGTCGACATGTTTCTCCCTACCGAGACAGTGTTCTGTACAGTGTGAGGACGACATGTTTGTTCCTACCGAGGTAGTGTTCAGTACAGTGTTAGGACGATATGTTTTTCCTACCGAGGCAGTGTTAAGTAGAGTGTTAGGGCGACATGTTTTTTCGTACCGAGTCAGTGTTCACTACAGTGTTAGGACAACATGTTTCTCCTCACCAGGGCAGTGTTCACTACAGTGTAAGGTCGACATGTTTCTCCCCTCCAGGGCAGTGTTCTGTACAGTGTTAGGACGACATGTTTCTCCCCACCAGGGCAGTGTTCTGTACAGTGTTAGGACGACATGTTTCTACCCACCAGGGCAGTGTTCACTACAGTGTAAGGTCGACATGTTTCTCCTCACCAGGGCAGTGTTCACTACAGTGTAAGGTCGACATGTTTCTCCCCACCAGGGCAGTGTTCAGTACAGTGTTAGGACGACATGTTTCTACCCACCAGGGCAGTGTTCACTACCGTGTTAGGACGACATGTTTCTCCCCACCAGGGCAGTGTTCACTACAGTGTTAGGACGACATGTTTCTCCCCACCAGGGCAGTGTTCACAACAGTGTTAGGACGACATGTTTCTCCGCACCAGGGCAGTATTCACTACAGTGTTAGGACGACATGTTTCTCCTCACCAGGGCAGTGTCTACTACAGTGTAAGGACGACATGTTTCTCCGCACCAGGGCAGTGTCTACTACAGTGTTAGGACGACATGTTTCTCCTCACCAGGGCAGTGTCTACTACAGTGTTAGGACGACATGTTTCTCCGCACCAGGGCAGTGTCTACTACAGTGTAAGGACGACATGTTTCTCTCCACCAGGGCAGTGTTCACTACAGTGTAAGGACGACATGTTTCTCCGCACCAGGGCAGTGTTCAGTACAGTGTTAGGACGACATGTTTCTCCGCACCAGGGCAGTGTTCTGTACAGTGTAAGGACGACATGTTTCTCCGCACCAGGGCAGTGTTCAGTACAATGTTAGGACGACATGTTTCTCCGCACCAGGGCAGTGTTCACTACAGTGTAAGGACGACATGTTTCTCCGCACCAGGGCAGTGTTCAGAACAGTGTTAGGACGACATGTTTCTCCTCACCAGGGCAGTGTTCACTACAGTGTAAGGACGACATGTTTCTCCTCACCAGGGCAGTGTTCACTACAGTGTAAGGACGACATGTTTCTACCTACCGAGGCAGTGTTAAGTAGAGTGTAAGGACGACATGTTTCTTCCTACCAGGGCAGTGTTCACTACAGTGTTATTACAACATATTTCTCCCCACCAGGGCAGTGTTCACTACAGTGTTAGGACGACATGTTTCTCTCTACCCAGGCAGTGTTCAGTACAGTGTTAAGACGACATGTTTCTTTCTACCGAGGCAGTGTTCAGTACAGTGTTATGAGAACATATTTCTCCCCACCAGGGCAGTGTTCACTACAGTGTTAGGACGACATGTTTCTTCCTACCGAGGCAGTGTTCAGTACAGTGTTATGAGAACATATTTCTCCCCACCAGGGCAGTGTTCACTACAGTGTTAGGACGACATGTTTCTCCCCACCAGGGCAGTGTTCACTACAGTGTAAGGACGACATGTTTCTCCTAACCAGGGCACTGTTCTGTACAGTGTTAGGATGACAGGTTTCTCTCTAACGAGGCAGTGTTCACTACAGTGTTAGGACGATATGTTTCTCCTCACCAGGGCAGTGTTAAATAGAGTGTTAGGACGACATGTTTCTCCTCACCAGGGCAGTGTTCACTACAATGTAAGGACGACATGTTTCTCCCCGCCAGGGCAGTGTTCAGAGAGAGAGAGAAGGGGAAAGGTCCATAGATTCAAGTAGGAATTGCAAAAAATAAATAATTCTTTTATTGAATGGGACACTGTGGCCTTGACATATCAATGAAACACATTTGGAAGAGTTAGGTCAGTGTGCAGACGAGGCGTCCATGTGCGTCATACACTCTGTCGGGATGACATGCAACAATTTATGTCAATGTCACCAAGGGAAATTACAACATGTGATTAGCACTGATATATAGAACGGTAACGCAATAGAAGCTGTATGAATACTGTGTGGACACCCTGGTGACTGATGTAAAATATATAAATTAAATTTGATCATAAAGGTAAAGCCAAGCAACATAATTAAACGGGAGAAATGTCCGCCAGTGGCCTTCAGTCTTGAGTTTACCAGAGCATTCTAAGCTGACTGATATGTCCTACATCGCCACTGAGAAAATTGGAATATCAATAACAGCCTATCTGAGACAACAATTATTCACCTATTACATTTGATAGGAGGAAAACCCAGTGGCGCATGATAAATGACGTGCCGTATGTTTCATGTGTTGACACACTTATTCCCATCAGACGCTGTACAGCACAGACAGAAGCACATGATTGACTCCATTATCTGTAACATGAAACCAGGAGACGTCGGGTGGGGCACAGTGGGGACAACAGCTCCTGACAGCTAGACGTACTTGTCACTGCTCCGACACATGCACATGGACAACACGATGACCAGCAGCTGAAACACAGGCGAGGACGTTCAAGCGGAGATACACGTGTACATAACAACAGTGCCAAGATATAAGTGTGACACGTGCATCTATAGTGTGACAAGGGTATATTAAAGTGTGACAAGGGTATATTAAAGTGTGACACACGTATATATAGATGTGACATATGTGTATATAGGTGATACGCGTACATATAGAGGTGTGACATCTGTACGTATAGATGTGATATCTATAGAGAGGTGTGACATGTGTACGTATAGATGTGATATGTATATAGAGAGGTGTGACATGTGTACGTATAAATGTGATATGTATATATAGAGGTGTGACATGTGTACGTATAGATGTGATATGTATATAGAGAGGTGTGACATCTGTACGTATAGATGTGATATGTATATAGAGAGGTGTGACATGTGTACGTATAAATGTGATATGTATATAGAGAGGTGTGACATGTGTACGTATAGATGTGATATGTATATAGAGAGGTGTGACATGTGTACGTATAGATGTGATATGTATGAAGAGAGGTGTGACAAGTAGAGATGCGCTTTACTGGGGATGGTCACACACCATAAGTAGAGATGAGCTACACCAGGGATGGTCACACACCACAAGTAGAGATGCGCTATACTAGGGATGGTCACATACCACAATTAGATATGCGCTATACTAGGGATGGTCACATACCACAATTAGATATGCGCTATACTGAGGATGGTCACACACCACAAGTAGAGATGAGCTACACCAGGGATGGTCACACACCACAAGTAGAGATGCGCTACACCAGGGATGGTCACATACCACAAGTAGAGATGCGCTATACTGGGGATGGTCACACACCACAAGTAGAGATGAGCTACACCAGGGATGGTCACACACCACAAGTAGAGATGAGCTACACCAGGGATGGTCACACACCACAAGTAGAGATGCGTTATACTGGGGATGGTCACACACCACAAGTAGAGATGAGCTGCACCAGGGATGGTCACACACCACAAGTAGAGATGCGCTATACTGGGGATGGTCACACACCACAAGGAGAGATGAGCTACACCAGGGATGGTCACACACCACAAATAGAGATGCTCTTTACTTGGGATGGTCACACACCACAAGTAGAGATGCGTTATATTGGGGATGGTCACACACCACAAGTAGAGATGCTCTTTACTTGGGATGGTCACACACCACAAGTAGAGATGCTCTTTACTGGGGATGGTCACACACCACAAGTAGAGATGCTCTTTACTTGGGATGGTCACACACCACAAGTAGAGATGCTCTTTACTTGGGATGGTCACACACCACAAGTAGAGATGCTCTTTACTGGGGATGGTCACACACCACAAGTAGAGATGAGCTATGCTGGGGATGATAACACTTAAGGTGAAATACTCAAAATAGGCTAGGTAGGTGACTTTGGGCACTGACGGTCCATGGAGACATACCTCTATGAGGAAGATGGTGACACCAACTCCAATGGCTACGTATTTGTAGTTGTCAAAGAAGTCCAATAGGTTGCTATAACAGCCCTGGAAAAAAACCAAATGATATCACTCACAAACCAGTAAGACATTGTCATGTTTGTACTCAAAAACTGTTAACACATACTCTTGTATACACTCACCAACCAGTTAGACATACTCTTGTATACACTCACCAACCAGTAAGACATACTCCTGTATACACTCACCAACCAGTAAGACATACTCCTGTATACACTCACCAACCAGTAAGACATACTCCTGTATACACGCACCAACTAGTAAGACATACTCCTGTATACACTCACCAAATAGTAAGACATACTCCTGTATACACTCACCAACCAGTAAGACATACTCCTGTATACACTCACCAACCAGTAAGACATACTCCTGTATACACGCACCAACCAGTAAGACATACTCCTGTATACACTCACCAACCAGTAAGACATACTCCTGTATACACGCACCAACTAGTAAGACATAGTCCTGTATACACTCACCAAATGGTAAGACATACTCCTGTATACACGCACCAACTAGTAAGACATACTCCTGTATACACTCACCAACCAGTAAGACATACTCCTGTATACACTCACCAACCAGTAAGACATACTCCTGTATACACGCACCAACTAGTAAGACATACTCCTGTATACACTCACCAAATAGTAAGACATACTCCTGTATACACTCACCAACCAGTAAGACATACTCCTGTATACACTCACCAACCAGTAAGACATAGTCCTGTATACACGCACCAAATAGTAAGACATACTCCTGTATACACTCACCAACCAGTAAGACATACTCCTGTTTGTACTCTCAAAATAGCTTAATAGTAAAGAGTGTTTGTACAGTATATGTACTAGTATATGCATAGTAGTGAGTGTCCTCAAAGTACGCATAGGCTTAGTACTTTTGGTTTGTGTTTTTATCTACACACTCAGCAATATATGAATTTGGTCAGTAAATAATCAAGTCTGGACCAGATAATCTATTGATTGACACCATGAACATCAATCTAAACAATTAGTATACGATGACATGCATCCACCAAGTCCGACCCCGTCAGTAGCTTGTGTACTTACATTGGATATAGGCATAACTATGTACTCACATGGGTGTAGGCGTACGTGTTGTCCATGTCGGTGATACTCAAACACTTCTTTATGTCTCCATCAGTGAACGTAGTGTCTGAAATATGTTCGTAATTTGTCTTCTTGCAGCACGCCACGGGGATCTTATGTAATGGGTTCCGCGGGTCCCAGTTGGTGTTGATGTCGGCATCTTGGAAGTCGGTGTAGTTGTCCACGCCGCAACATTGGAACTGCATGCACACATTGAGTTATCTATTATTCTTCATGAAGACGACCGAGTATCTATACTCTGCATGGAATGTGTACATGTTACAGCGGGACAACGCCAATGGATACAAACAGTATCCGTTGGGATCATTAACGAATAAATATGCAAATATAAACGGCCAAGTATGGACTATATCAACAAATACGCCCTGGCACTTGTCTACCTCCGATCGAGCCAGAATTGATGATCGGGGACCTGGACAAATAACGAGAATAATTTGTTATCATTATCAATCTATGATATCATACCAAGATTCGGTGTCTACAGTGGGCGTAGCTGAGGCCTCTCTCACACGCGTAGGCGAAAATAAATTGCAAAGAAATTAAGCGAGGACGGTCGGGATATCAATTTCCATATCTGTGCTTGTTGACATCATGGGTTTGGGGTATTTTCCCGAATAACTTTGGATTTGACTGAAATAAACTGATGGAAACGAATGAGGGAACAATGAAAAATATAGAGAAACAAGTTTTACTGTCGGTACATTTGACATAGCGCGCATACAGAATCAAATGTTGACATGTGTTTGTGTGCATTGTTTCCAACGCCTATTTGGTAGACAAGGCTTCGAACCCATGACAGCATATAATTTTATTGTGTCTAAAACTAAGTGTTCCCTTATTCATTCCCCTCAGTATCAGTCCGAAATTGTACCGAATTAATTAATTAAAGTTTTAAGCCCCTCGGTTCACTTGTAGCTACTTTACTTTACAACAGCCAAACACATGCTTGATTAATACACTTTAGACTGGATGTCACCCTACCAAGGGCGACCACTTCTTCAGTTATCACGAACCGCCTTGAGAATATATAATTGACAGTGAATGTAGCTAGCATTAGCAGCAACTATTTCAAGAATATTCCAATATGCGATCCAGCATATAAACAAAATATGATGTCCTTACATGGAATGTAACAACGAAAATATAGCATCTGCTAGTCATCCACAGTTGGTAACCGTGACATTTTTCTGACATCATAAGATGATCAGCACTTCTCATAGCTGTGAATCTAATGATATGACCACTAAATGCATACGACTTCCTATAACCTTGACCTTATACTACCTTTTCCTATTTCCGCCCGCTCTAAGGACAACATTGACCGCCAGTTGACCCGCAGCGAGTTAGTAATCAAACCCTTTCCAAGCTAAGACCTTGAGAATGATCTGGACCCATCCATGTAACATCCCGAGGGCAGTAAAGAAGATATACATGGTAGGATATCAATGAAACCTTAAAGCATCACCTGCTCAGTGATACCACAGTCAAGGGTAAACAGGTTTACTATGTGTTATGCAGGTGTCATCAGGACGCCACCCACTATTCTGTGAAGACAATTATCTGTGAAAGAAATATTTAATTGATTCAAGGAAGAAATTCCATAGATGAGGCACACATAAAGTTTTCCCAACTAGATTCACACACATCTCCACTTGACTGAAGAGTGCAAATGCTAGTGAAGAATGTTACATAATGCTTTATGAAAAGCAACAAAACAGTCAGCTGAGTGTTCCCCCAAACCACAAGGTACAAGACTAAATGACAGCACTTGATCACAAGGGTGGAAGTTTCCCCGGGACAATATACATCAGTGCTCCAAGGAACGTTACCAAGACGAATGGCGGACAACCTGATACCCAACATATACAGAGCAACTGAAGAGAAACCAGACAGATAGTCAGCTCGATACACCGTCTAAGACGTTTCAGACATTGGAGCCGACCTAGTTGTTATCGACGCTGTGGCACTCCACTAGTCTCACGCTGCGGATAACTCGGTGATAACCTCAGGCAATAATATATCGTGAGATGGACGGAACCTTCTATCTTGCAGCTAAATACCAGGGACCAAGATGGTCCATCACACAAACGAAGTCAACACTATTTAATGTTGAACTACTTACGGTGGAGAAGATGGCGTCAAAGGATTGATCTTTGGCAGTCTTATTGGAGGCGTTGTCGTCGTAACCTTTCAACGCATTTCTTAAGCCTTTGTCTAGGACCTCGTCTGCCTAGCAACACAAGAAACAGGCGGGTAGTTGGCAGCAGGGCAGTGATAATTGTATACTCCAAGGTATTACAAGACGCTGGTTAGTAAAGTACAGTCGGAAACAGAAATACATTTTCAACTAAGTTATTACCAACTGTGGCTTGAAAAGCATAGTTTGCAACAAGTAGAACAGGACAAGTTACAGGAGTGAAAAAAGGCCAAGTTCAGAGGCTGAAATACCAAAACATTTGTTTGTTGTTTATTGTTTAACGCCACACAGCAATATGTGTGGCATGTGCATACACTTTGTCAGGAGTACTCATGATGACCCTGAAACTGCATGTGCATTCCGGTTGCATGCACGCATAAAATCCCAAGTTTAGAAATTCGTCACATATTCACAGTACACGTGTGACCAAGTCACTTCAAACAGAATGAATCGTTGAAGCGTTTTAACTATGAAAAGCAACTTTGTTGGCTAAACCTGGTAAACGTTATGCCACGCCTGTCTGAAAATAAGTGTCTTCGTGCAGTTGTCTTGCTTGAAACCAGAATTGCACATAACAGGGGCCTCTAATGGTCATCAATGGCAACTTGACAGGTGTACAGTTACATGGCGAAGTTATCCATCCCCACGTCCTCCCGTTCCTTCAGACCCACGTGACACCCCGTTACAGCAGATCTGTCGTGATGACGTTTACAGAGGACATGTTGACGTTGTTTCATTGAAATCAATATATTGTTTATCGTATATATCATGGTATAACAAGAAACTGGTTAACGGTTGACAGCAGAAAAATAAAACGTTTTGAAATACATGACTTCGAAACGTCACCTACTGGCCTTGAATGAATTCTGTTAAACATCACAGGTTAACACAGCGGGCCGTAAATAACAGGCTTGGCTGGCGAAGTCAGTGATTGCCTGTAATTGCATCATACATGGGAAACAAAATCGCACCCATCTTAAGCGTAATGATACCTACCTTACTTCCCTTAGCCAGGACTACCGCCACAGCCACGATCTCCGCCAGCAGGATAACACCGACTACGACGCCATACTGTAATATAGTTCTACACATATACATGATTTCGACAATAACGCACCACTGTGACGCAGTCCTATACACATACATTACGTTGACAATATCGCGTCACTGTATTGCAGTCCCATACATGTACATCACACCGACAATAACGCGCCACTGTAACGCAGTCCTATACACATACATTACGTTGACAATATCGCGTCACTGTATTGCAGTCCCATACATGAACATCACACCGACAATAACGCGCCACTGTGACGCAGTCCTATACACATACATTACGTTGACAATATCGCGTCACTGTATTGCAGTCCCATACATGTACATCACACCGACAATAACGCGCCACTGTAACGCAGTCCTATACACATACATTACGTTGACAATATCGCGTCACTGTATTGCAGTCCCATACATGTACATCACACCGACAATAACGCGCCACTGTAACGCAGTCCTATACACATACATTACGTTGACAATATCGCGTCACTGTATTACAGTCCTATTCATATAAGTCACACAGACAATAACGCGCCACTGTAACGTAGTCCTATACACATACATTACGTTGACAATATCGCGTCACTGTATTACAGTCCTATACATATATTTCACAACGACAATAACGCGCAACTGTAACGCAGTCCTATACACATACATTACGTTGACAAAAACGCGTCACTGTAACGCAGTCCTATACACATACATTACGTTGACAATATCGCGCCACTGTATTACAGTCCTAAACATATATGTCACACCGACAATAACGCGCCACTGTAACGCAGTCCTATACACATACATTACGTTGACAATATCGCGTCACTGTAACGTAGTCCTATAAATATACATTACGTTGACAATAACGCGCCACTGTAACGCTGTCCTATACACATACATTACGGGAACAATAACGAGTCACTGTAACGCAGTCCTATACACATACATTACGTAGACAATAACGCGCCACTGTAATGTAGTCCTATAAATATACATTACGCCGACAATATCGCGTCACTGTATTACAGTCCTATACATATATGTCACACCGACAATAACGCGCCACTGTAACGCAGTCCTATACACATACATTACGTTGACAATATCGCGTCACTGTATTACAGTCCTATACATATAAGTCACACCGACAATAACGCGCCACTGTAACGCAGTCCTATACACATACATTACGTTGACAATATCGCGTCACTGTAACGTAGTCCTATAAATATACATTACGTTGACAATAACGCGCCACTGTAACGCAGTCCTATACACATACATTACGGGAACAATAACGAGTCACTGTAACGCAGTCCTATACACATACATTACGTAGACAATAACGCGCCACTGTAACGTAGTCCTATAAATATACATTACGCCGACAATATCGCGTCACTGTATTACAGTCCTATACATATATGTCACACCGACAATAACGCGCCACTGTAACGCAGTCCTATACACATACATTACGTTGACAATATCGCGTCACTGTAACGTAGTCCTATAAATATACATTACGTTGACAATAACGCGCCACTGTAACGCTGTCCTATACACATACATTACGGGAACAATAACGAGTCACTGTAACGCAGTCCTATACACATACATTACGTAGACAATAACGCGCCACTGTAATGTAGTCCTATAAATATACATTACGCCGACAATATCGCGTCACTGTATTACAGTCCTATACATATATGTCACACCGACAATAACGCGCCACTGTAACGCAGTCCTATACACATACATTACGTTGACAATATCGCGTCACTGTATTACAGTCCTATACATATAAGTCACACCGACAATAACGCGCCACTGTAACGCAGTCCTATACACATACATTACGTTGACAATATCGCGTCACTGTAACGTAGTCCTATAAATATACATTACGTTGACAATAACGCGCCACTGTAACGCAGTCCTATACACATACATTACGGGAACAATAACGAGTCACTGTAACGCAGTCCTATACACATACATTACGTAGACAATAACGCGCCACTGTAACGTAGTCCTATAAATATACATTACGCCGACAATATCGCGTCACTGTATTACAGTCCTATACATATATGTCACACCGACAATAACGCGCCACTGTAACGCAGTCCTATACACATACATTACGTTGACAATATCGCGTCACTGTATTGCAGTCCCATACATGTACATCACACCGACAATAACGCGCCACTGTAACACAGTCCTATACACATACATCACACCGACAATATCGCGCCACTGTATTACAGTCCTATACATATATGTCACACCGACAATAACGCGCCACTGTCACGCAGTCCTATACACATACATTACGTTGACAATAACGCGCCACTGTATTACAGTCCTATACATATAAGTCACACCGACAATAACGCGCCACTGTAACGCAGTCCTATACACATACATTACGTTGACAATAACGCGCCACTGTATTACAGTCCTATACATATAAGTCACACCGACAATAACGCGCCACTGTAACGCAGTCCTATACACATACATTACGTTGACAATAACGCGCCACTGTATTACAGTCCTATACATATATGTCACACCGACAATAACGCGCCACTGTAACGCAGTCCTATACACATACATTACGTTGACAATAACGCGCCACTGTATTACAGTCCTATACATATATGTCACACCGACAATAACGCGCCACTGTCACGCAGTCCTATACACATACATTACGTTGACAATAACGCGTCACTGTATTACAGTCCTATACATATAAGTCACACCGACAATAACGCGCCACTGTAACGCAGTCCTATACATATACATCACACCGACAATATCGCGTCACTGTATTACAGTCCTATACATATAAGTCACACCGACAATAACGCGCCACTGTAACGCAGTCCTATACACATACATTACGTTGACAATATCGCGTCACTGTATTACAGTCCTATACATATATGTCACACCGACAATAACGCGCCACTGTAACGCAGTCCTATACACATACATTACGTTGACAATAACGCGCCACTGTATTACAGTCCTATACACATACATTACGTTGACAATAACGCGCCACTGTATTACAGACCTATACATATACATTACGTTGACAATAACGCGCCACTGTAACGCAGTCCTATACATATATATCACACCGACAATAACGCGCCACTGTATTACAGACCTATACATATATTTCACACCGACAATAACGCGCCACTGTATTACAGTCCTATACATATAAGTCACACCGACAATAACGCGCCACTGTAACGCAGTCCTATACACATACATCACACCGACAATATCGCGTCACTGTATTACAGTCCTATACATATAAGTCACACCGACAATAACGCGCCACTGTAACGCAGTCCTATACACATACATCACACCGACAATAACGCGCCACTGTAACGCAGTCCTATACACATACATTACGTTGACAATAACGCGCCACTGTATTACAGTCCTATACACATACATTACGTTGACAATAACGCGCCACTGTAACGTAGTCCTATAAATATACATTACGCCGACAATATCGCGTCACTGTATTACAGTCCTATACATATATGTCACACCGACAATAACGCGCCACTGTAACGCAGTCCTATACACATACATTACGTTGACAATATCGCGTCACTGTATTACAGTCCTATACATATATTTCACACCGACAATACCGCGCCACTGTATTACAGTCCTATACATATATTTCACACCGACAATACCGCGTCACTGTATTACAGTCCTATACATATATTTCACACCGACAATACCGCGCCACTGTATTACAGTCCTATACATGTACATCACACCGACAATAACGCGCCACTGTAACGCAGTCCTTTACATACACTACATTCTACAGGTACCATACTGTACGCCCGTTCGATTATTTAAATTTGAGGGATTAGAGTCCACGGAAATTAAACATGAATAAGGTCGGTACCCGAAATATGATCCATAAAGTGCAGCCTCAGATATAATACAAAATGGCTGCCGGGAGAAGGAGAAACACAACATCCATGTGTATGACTATATCACACAACTGTTAGAAGTCTTTCATTTCATTGCACAACTCACAATGCCAAGCATCACTCTCCATTGACAGCAGGCTCCAAGACAGCCCAGGCCTGCGATCAGAATGATGAGGCAACCGAAAACAATGACGACCAGTCCGAATGTCTCGCCAGCATACTTCAGGTTGAAGTCAATGTTTCCACTCGTCTCCACCAAAGCATCTTTGAAGACGTCAAAGCCAACTTTGAAAACGATCCCAGCAATCAGGATGGCTAGCCCAAAGATCTGGAGGGATAGAACATTTAGATGCATAGAATTGCGTTTCTCATGTATTTGCATTATATTTTACTCTGAAGAAGTTCAAGAACAACCGATGTTTTTATATCTAGTCGGTATAGCAACACACAACCTTCCAATTGAGGGTGTTCTTCAGCGTGTTTTGAGTATAGTATACATAAATACAGTCAAAGGCCGTTGTGTCGAACATTGATGACCAAAAGCTTGGTCCCTGCGTATTCCTTCTTTATTCATCATTTTTCGGTTGTGTCGAACTTCGGATAAATCGAAGTATTTACGTAGGTCGCGTCAATTTCGACACAAAGGTGTTTGACTGTACAGCAAACAGCGCCATAAAAGTTTCGGATGTTCACACCGCACATAACAGACAGCATGACGCTAAACACAGGGCACATCACGGCAACATGACGCTAAACACAGGGCACATCACGGCAACATGACGCTAAACACAGGGCACATCACGGCAACATGACGCTAAACACAGGGCACATCACGGCAATATGACGCTAAACACAGGGCACATCACGGCACCATGACTCTCAACAAAGGGCTGAGTGAGTGAGTGTGGTTTTACGCCGCTTTTAGCAATATTCCAGCAATATTAAGGCGGGGGACACCAGAACTGGGCTTCACACATTGTACCCATGTCGGGATTCAATCCCGTGTCTTTAACGACGAACGCTATAACCACTAGGCTACCCGACCGCCCCAACAAAGGGCTTAACTATACCCACTGTGATTTGATGTACAAGACGAGACTGTGAACCGACTGTGGTAGACTGATACCAGCTGTAGGAAAACCCATGATAAGTTCAGGTAATCTTCTTGTCTCGACCTTGGCCCTTGACACAGTATTGGCTGCATTAATATGTGTCTCTCGTGTAGACTGCCCAGACGGTTTGCCATAAAACTACGTGTCTCTCGTGTAGACTGCACAGACGTTTGCCATAAAACTATGTGTCTCTCGTGTAGACTGTACAGACGTTTGCCATAAAACTATGTGTCTCTCGTGTAGACTGTACAGACGCTTGCCATAAAACTATATGTCTCTCGTGTAGACTGCACAGACGTTTGCCATAAAACTGTGTCTCGCGTGTAGACTGTACAGACGTTTGCCATAAAACTACGTGTCTCTCGTGTAGACTGTACAGACGTTTGCCATAAAACTATATGTCTCTCGTGTAGACTGCACAGACGTTTGCCATAAAACTATGTGTCTCTCGTGTAGACTGTACAGACGTTTGCCATAAAAATACGTGTCTCTCGTGTAGACTGTACAGACGTTTGCCATAAAACTATGTGTCTCTCGTGTAGATTGTACAGACGTTTGCCATAAAACTATATGTCTCTCGTGTAGACTGTACAGACGTTTGCCATAAAACTATGTGTCTCTCGTGTAGACTGTACAGGCGTTTGCCATAAAACTACGTGTCTCTCGTGTAGATTGTACAAACGTTTGCCATAAAACTATATGTCTCTCGTGTAGACTGTACAGACGTTTGCCATAAAACTATGTGTCTCTCGTGTAGACTGCACAGACGTTTGCCATAAAACTATGTGTCTCTCGTGTAGACTGCACAGACGTTTGCCATAAAACTATGTGTCTCTCGTGTAGACAGTACAGACGTTTGCCATAAAACTATGTGTCTCTCGTGTAGACAGTACAGACGTTTGCCATAAAACTATGTGTCTCTCGTGAAGATTTACAAACGTTTGCCATAAAACTATGTGTCTCTCGTGTAGACTGTACAGACGTTTGCCATAAAACTATGTGTCTCTCGTGTAGACTGTACAGACGTTTGCCATAAAACTATGTGTCTCTCGTGTAGACTGCACAGACGTTTGCCATAAAACTATGTGTCTCTCGTGTAGACTGCACAGACGTTTGCCATAAAACTATGTGTCTCTCGTGTAGACTGTACAGACGTTTGCCATAAAACTATGTGTCTCTCGTGTAGACTGCACAGACGTTTGCCATAAAACTATGTGTCTCTCGTGTAGACAGTACAGACGTTTGCCATAAAACTATGTGTCTCTCGTGTAGACAGTACAGACGTTTGACATAAAACTATGTGTCTCTCGTGAAGATTTACAAACGTTTGCCATAAAACTATGTGTCTCTCGTGTAGACAGTACAGACGTTTGCCATAAAACTATGTATCTCTCGTGTAGACTGTACAGACGTTTGCCATAAAACTACGTGTCTCTCGCGTCGACTGAACAGACGTTTGCCATAAAACTACGTGTCTCTCGTGTAGACTGTACAGACGTTTGCCATAAAACTATGAATCTCTCGTGTAGACTGTACAGACGTTTGCCATAAAACTATGTGTCTCTCGTGTAGACTGTACAGACGTTTGCCATAAAACTACGTGTCTCTCGTGTAGACTGTACAGACGTTTGCCATAAAACTATGTGTCTCTCGTGTAGACTGTACAGACGTTTACCATAAAACTACGTGTCTCTCGTGTAGACTGTACAGACGTTTGCCATAAAACTATGTGTCTCTCGTGTAGACTGTACAGACGTTTACCATAAAACTATGTGTCTCTCGTGTAGACTGTACAGACGTTTGCCATAAAACTATGTGTCTCTCGTGTAGACTGTACAGACGTTTACCATAAAACTACGTGTCTCTCGTGTAGACTGTACAGACGTTTGCCATAAAACTATGTGTCTCTCGTGTAGACTGTACAGACGTTTACCATAAAACTATGTGTCTCTCGTGTAGACTGTACAGACGTTTGCCATAAAACTATGTGTCTCTCGTGTAGGCTGTACAGACGTTTGCCATAAAACTATGTGTCTCTCATGTAGACTGTACAGACGTTTGCCATAAACTACATGTCTCTCGTGTAGACAGTACAGACGTTTGCCATAAAACTATATGTCTCTCGTGTAGACTGCACAGACGTTTGCCATAAAACTGTGTCTCTCGTGTAGACTGTACAGACGTTTGCCATAAAACTATATGTCTCTCGTGTAGACTGTACAGACGTTTGCCATAAAACTACGTGTCTCTCGTTGTAGGCTGTACAGACGTTTGCCATAAAACTACGTGGCCCTCGTGTAGACTGTACAGACATTTGCCATAAAACTACGTGTCTCTCGTGTAGACAGTACAGACGTTTGCCATAAAACTATGTGTCTCTCGTGTAGACTGTACATACGTTTGCCATAAAACTACGTGTCTCTCGTGTAGACTGTACAGACGTTTGCCATAAAACTACGAGTCTCTCGTGTAGACTGTACAGACGTTTGCCATAAAACTATGTGTCTCTCGTGTAGACTGTACAGACGTTTGCCATAAAACTATGTGTCTCTCGTGTAGGCTGTACAGACGTTTGCCATAAAACTACGTGTCTCTCGTTGTAGGCTGTACAGACGTTTGCCATAAAACTACGTGGCCCTCGTGTAGACTGTACAGACATTTGCCATAAAACTACGTGTCTCTCGTGTAGACAGTACAGACGTTTGCCATAAAACTATGTGTCTCTCGTGTAGACTGTACATACGTTTGCCATAAAACTACGTGTCTCTCGTGTAGACTGTACAGACGTTTGCCATAAAACTACGAGTCTCTCGTGTAGACTGTACAGACGTTTGCCATAAAACTATGTGTCTCTCGTGTAGACTGTACAGACTTTTGCCATAAAACTATGTGTCTCTCGTGTAGGCTGTACAGACGTTTCCCATAAAAATACGTGTCTCTCGTGTAGGCTGTACAGACGTTTGCCATAAAACTATGTGTCTCTGGTGTAGACAGTAAAGACGTTTGCTATAAAACTATGTGTCTCTCGTGTAGACTGTACAGACGTTTGCCATAAAACTATGTGTCTCTCGTGTAGACTGTACAGACGTTTGCCATAAAACTATGTGTCTCTCGGGTAGACATTGCAGACGTTTGCCATAAAACTATGTATCTCTCTTGTAGACTGTACAGACGTTTGCCATAAAACTATGTGTCTCTCGTGTAGACAGTACAGACGTTTGCCATAAAACTACGTGTCTCTCGTGTAGGCTGTACAGACGTTTGCCATAAAACTACGAGTCTCTCGTGTAGACTGTACAGACGTTTGCTATAAAACTACGTGTCTCTGGTGTAGACAGTACAGACGTTTGCTATAAAACTATGTGTCTCTCGTGTAGACTGTACAGACGTTTGCCATAAAACTATGTGTCTCTCGTGTAGACTGTACAGACGTTTGCCATAAAACTATGTGTCTCTCGTGTAGATTGTACAGACGTTTGCCATAAAACTACGTGTCTCTCGTGTAGACTGCACAGACGTTTGCCATAAAACTACGTGTCTCTCGTGTAGACTGTACAGACGTTTGCCATAAAACTACGTGTCTCTCGTGTAGACTGTACAGACGTTTGCTATAAAACTACGTGTCTCTCGTGTAGACTGTACAGACGTTTGCCTCAGAAATAAATGAACATGCCAGGTACAGAGTAGAGGTCAGTGGGGTGTGAGCAGAACTCACCAGAAAGATGACGTTAATGATGATAAGAAAGATCTTCGAACAACCGCCTTCCATTGTAAATACTGTCCCTTGTACTGACCCTGAAACACAATACACTGCAGAGCTGTACACAGACATAAACTGAGTATGGGAAACACTATCGGGCCAGAGTCGGTTGTGTCGCAACCCTGACGCACGAACCGGGGTCACACGGACTGCACGGGCGGCTCTGCTCGTCTGTAAAACACACTCGGAATACCTCGTCATTGAGAGTGTTAGAAAGAAACTTAAGATATGTTTTAGCTTATTATAATCTGACACAATGCATATCAACTGAAGACAAAATCCCAATTATTTTGTTTTATAATATAGAGACGAACAGAATCTGGAATTAGCTGTGTGTGCCTACTCTTTGAGATTATTCTACCGATATTCCATAACAGCAACACACTCACCGACATAGCAGAACAAGGTAACACATATAGCAAGTCGCTTTATAGATCGTGTGAATAAAAGTAAGGAGGAAATTGTTAAACTTACAGGTGATCTGCCTTCCACTTGATATCCAGTGACAAATGGCGTTTAAGTAATGAGCGCTTTTGTCTGATCACGAGAACCTACGTCACAGCAACTTATCAGGTGTCGGAAAGTTGACATACAAATTATCAGGGCCACATTGGCTGTTGGTAAGGACCTTTCCGAGCATACATATACTGTTTGATAATACTGATGTGACACTGAGTCACTCTCTGATGACCCGATACGTGAACGTGATCAATGTTGTGAAATAAGTTCAAGTAATTATCATGCAATTGTTTACTCTTCAAGGTGTGGTCACGCAGTATATCAACAGTAACTTTCCATGCTGTGGTCTGTGCATCACTGGTGCAGGTGCGTGCCCTGACGCTGGTGTATTGGAATAAATAGTGAGTGATTGAGTGAGTTTGGTTTTACGCCGCTTTTAGCAATATTCCAGCAATATCACGGCGTCGCATCGCATCGCATCGCATCGGCATTATTACAGCCATATAACGACGAATCAAAATACTGTATTGCCCTGACTACCCTGGTGCTGGGTGTATTGCTGATTGTGTCAGTGAATATACTATATTGCCCTGACCAACCTGGTGCTGGGTGTATTGGTGATTGTGTCGGTGAATATACTGTATTGCCCTGACCACCCTGGTGCTGGGTGTATTGCTGATTGTGTCAGTGAATAAACTGTATTGTCCTGACCACCATGGTGATGGGTGTATTGGTGATTGTGTCAGTGAATATACTGTATCGCCCTGTCCACCCTGGTGGTGGGTGTATTGCTGATTGTGTCAGTGAATAAACTGTATCGCCCTGTCCACCCTGGTACTGGGTGTATTGGTGATTGTGTCGGTGAATATACTGTATCGCCCTGTCCACCCTGGTGCTGGGTGTATTGCTGATTGTGTCAGTGAATATACTATATTGCCCTGACCACCCTGGTGCTGGGTGTATTGGTGATTGTGTCAGTGAATATACTGTATTGCCCTGACCACCCTGGTGCTGGGTGTATTGGTGATTGTGTCAGTGAATATACCGTATTGCCCTGACCACCCTGGTGCTGGGTGTATTGCTGATTGTGTCGGTGAATATACTATATTGCCCTGACCACCCTGGTACTGGGTGTATTGGTGATTGTGTCAGTGAATATACTGTATTGCCCTGACCGCCCTAGAGCTGGGTGTATTAGTGATTGTGTCAGTGAATATACTGTATTGCCCTGACCACCCTGGTACTGGGTGTATTGGTGATTGTGTCAGTGAATATACTGTATTGCCCTGACCGCCCTAGAGCTGGGTGTATTGGTCATTATGTCAGTGAATATACTGTATTGCCCTGACCACCTTGGTGCTGGGTGTATTGGTGATTGTGTCAGTGAATATTCTGTATTGCCCTGACCACACTGGTACTGGGTGTATTGGTGATTGTGTCGGTGAATATACTGTATTGCCCTGACCACCCTGGTACTGGGTGTTTTGGTGATTGTATCAGTGAATAAACTGTATTGCCCTGCCCGCCCTAGAGCTGGGTGTATTGGTGATTGTGTCAGTGAATATACTGTATCGCCTTGTCCACCCTGGTGCTGGGTGTATTGCTGATTGTGTCAGTGAATATACTGTATTGCCCTGACCACCATGGTACTGGGTGTATTGGTGATTGTGTCAGTGAATATACTGTATTGCCCTGACCACCCTGGTGCTGGGTGTATTGCTGATTGTGTCAGTGAATATACTGTATTGCCCTGATCACCCCGGTGACGGGTGTATTGGTGATTGTGTCAGTGAATATACTGTATCTCCCTGACCACCCTGGTACTGGGTGTATTGGTGATTGTGTCAGTGAATATACTGTATTGCCCTGATCACCCCGGTGATGGGTGTATTGGTGATTGTGTCAGTGAATATACTATATTGCCCTGACCACCCTGGTGATGGGTGTATTGGTGATTGTGTCGGTGAATATACTGTATTGCCCTGTCCACCCTGGTACTGGGTGTATTGGTGATTGTGTCAGTGAATATACTGTATTGCCCTGATCACCCCGGTGATGGGTGTATTGGTGATTTTGTCAGTGAATACTGTATCTCCCTGTCCACCCTGGTACTGGGTGTATTGGTGATTGTGTCAGTGAATAAACTGTATTGCCCTGACCACCCTGGTGATGGATGTATTGGTGATTGTGTCAGTGAATATACTGTGTTGCCCTGACCGCCCTAGAGCTGGGTGTATTGCTGATTGTATCAGTGAATATACTGTATTGCCCTGACCACCATGGTGCTGGGTGTATTGCTGATTGTGTCGGTGAATATACTGTATCGCCCTGTCCACCCTGGTACTGGGTGTATTGGTGATTGTGTCAGTGAATAAACTGTATTGCCCTGGCCACCCTGGTGTTGGTGTATTGGGGATTGTGTCAGTGAATATACTGTATTGCCCTGACCACCCTGGTGGTGGGTGTATTGCTGATTGTGTCAGTGAATATACTGTATTGCCCTGACCACCCTGGTGGTGGGTGTATTGCTGATTGTGTCAGTGAATATACTGTATCGCCCTGTCCACCCTGGTGCTGGGTGTATTGGTGATTGTGTCAGTGAATATACTGTATCTCCCTGCCCACCCTGGTACTGGGTGTATTGGTGATTGTGTCAGTGAATAAACTGTATTGTCCTGACCACCCTGGTGATGGGTGTATTGGTGATTGTGTCAGTGAATATACTGTGTTGCCCTGACCGCCCTAGAGCTGGGTGTATTGCTGATTGTATCAGTGAATATACTGTTTTGCCCTGACCACCATGGTGCTGGGTGTTTTGCTGATTGTGTCGGTGAATATACTGTATCGCCCTGTCCACCCTGGTACTGGGTGTATTGGTGATTGTGTCAGTGAATATACTGTATCGCCCTGTCCACCCTGGTACTGGGTGTATTGGTGATTGTGTCAGTGAATAAACTGTATTGCCCTGATCACCCTGGTGTTGGTGAATTGGGGATTGTGTCAGTGAATATACTGTATTGTCCTGACCACCCTGGTGGTGGGTGTATTGGTGATTGTGTCAGTGAATATACTGTATTGCCCTGACCACCCTGGTGCTGGGTGTATTGCTGATTGTGTCGGTGCATATACTGTATCGCCCTGTCCACCCTGGTACTGGGTGTATTGGTGATTGTGTCAGTGAATAAACTGTATAGCCCTGTCCACCCTGGTACTGGGTGTATTGGTGATTGTGTCAGTGAATATACTGTATTGCCCTGATCACCCTGGTGGTGGGTGTATTGGTGATTGTGTCAGTGAATATACTGTATTGCCCTGACCACCCTGGTACTGGGTGTATTGGTGATTGTGTCAGTGAATATACTGTATTGCCCTGACCACCCTGGTGGTGGGTGTATTGCTGATTGTGTCTGTGAATATACTGTATCGCCCTGTCCACCCTTGTACTGGTTGTATTGGTGATTGTGTCAGTGAATATACAAAAATTGCATACAATTTTTCACCTTTTCTCGTCATGTATTTGTGAATAATCGCATTAAGTACGAAAATATTATCCGTGGTTGAGTACCCTTGTCTAAAACCTGCTTGTTCTTCCGAAATTTTATCTTATGAGTCTGGCCAAAAAGTGAGCCTTTTATTGATAATAGAAACAAATCGTTTGCTAAAAACACTCAGAAGGGTAATTCCTAGATAATGTTTTGTATCGGTACGTGATCCTGATTTATGTAGTGGAACAATCACACCGATAGTCCACTCTTTTGGTAAATAAGACATTTCTAAAATCATTCAAGGTATGGGAGTAGAATATTTACAGAATGTTTAAAAAAACTCGGGAATTAAACCATCTATGCTGGAACTCGTGCTGTTTTTCGAAGATAGAGAGTAGATAGCTTTTTGATTTTCAGCTCTTTCCTCTGGCGAGTCAAGAATTGTAGCAGTTATGTCATTGTCACATGTTTCCTGACCTGATAATTCAAAGAAGGTATCATCCCTAAAACCATTACCACTAAACATATTTTTGAAATAATCATACCATTTATCAATTTCAATATTATTTTAAAACTCAAAATGTGGATTTAGCTTTTGGAGGGTTGTCCAAAATTCTTTTGACGACTTAATGTTATCTTCCAAGTATTGTTTTTTCTTTTCAAGAAATATAATCTTCTTTTCCCTGCACGTGGTTGTGTAAAGATTTCTAATTCTTGTAAACTGACGTCCAAAAGAAACTTTACCAGAGTTTGAAATCACTCTTGCTCAAAAACAACAAAACATACATGCATGAAGTAAAGTGTATTGAGAAGATCAATATATCAACATAATCAACACTGAAATCATACCGCGACCGAGAATGACCGAGAATGACGTCAGATCCCCCCAAAGTTGGGTGTGGTACAAAACTCGAGCTTTCAGAATCATGGACAATTGGCAGAGTACATAAACAATCGCTCACGTTCAATAACAAGTCATTAGTAGTGTGTATGACAACCAAATGCCTCAATACACGCAAAAACTCTTCAACGCACAGAAAAAGTCAGTCGTCTGATGAAGTCACGTGGGATTTGACACCATTCTTCTTGGAGGGCCAAGATCAGTTCTTGCTGGTTGGCTGGAGAGTGTGGTCGTTGTCGAACACGACGATCTATCAAGTCCTAGAGGTGTTCTATGGGGGACATGTTGGGTGAGCATGCAGGCCACGGCAGGACGTTGACGTTGTTGGCTGCGAGGAAGTTAATGACAATTCTGGCTGTATGGGCTCTAGCTGTGTCATGCTGATAAGTGACACCACGTGGCTGCTGTTGGAGAAATGGTCGAAGAATGTTATCCATGTAACGCTGAGCTGTCAAGTTTCCGTCAACGATGACCAGCGGTGTCCTCTCCTGCCCACAGATCCCTCCCCACACCATGACACACCCTCCACCATTTGGTACGACCTCCTGCACGCAACACGCCGCCGTTCGTTCACCCCTTCGGCGGTAAACACGTTGTCTTCCATCAGCCCTAAACATACAGAATCGACTTTCGTCAGTGAAGACAACCCTCTGCCAGTCACGTCGTTGCCAACGTCGTACAGTCCGGGCCCATCTCAATCGACGACGATGTTGCGCTGTCAATAGCTGTCCTCTGTATGGTCTAAAAGCCCTGATTCCATGAGCCCAGTGTCTCCT